TTATCACCACAACCCACCCCCCACCACCACACCACTCACTACCACCCACCACTCGCCACCGCACCCACCCACCTACCACACACCCGCCACCACTCACCACCACCCGCCATCCACCACCCACCTGCTACCGCCACCCCGCATCCGCCACCCACCTACTACCACCACCCACCACCCGTCACCACCGCCACCACCACCATCACCACCCACTTGCTACCACCCACTACCTGCCACCCTCACCCACTAGCTACCCGCCACCACCACTCACCCGTCGCCACCCGCCATCGCTACCACCGCACCCACCACCGCCACCACACACCACCACACCCACTCGCTACCACCTACTACCTACCACCGTCATCCACCCACCCACCACCACCACCCGCCATCTACTGCCACCACCACCACCCGCCACCATCCACACCCACCCACACCCGCTACCACCATACCACCCACCACCCTCCACCACCCACTCATACCACCCACCACCCGCCACTGTTACCTACCCCCACCCACCACCACCACTACCACCCGCACCACCACCACTACCCGCTATCACCCACTACTACCCGCCATCCGCACCCACCTGTACCACCACCACCACCACCTGCCACCACCACCACCATCACTTGCCACCCTCACCCTCACGCCACCCACCCGCCACCCTCACCACCCGCCACCACCCGCCATCCGCCACCACCTACACCTACCACCCACCACCGCACCACACCACCCACTCGCTACCACCTACCACTCGCCACCATCACCCACCCACCTCACCACCACCACCAACCATCCACCCGCCCGCCACCACCACCCACTTGCCACCATCACCACCACCACCGCCATCGTCACCCACCCATCCACCCACCACCACCACCACCCACCCCCAAAACCACCCACCAGCTACCCACCACCTACCGTCACCACTTTCCACCACCGTCTTCCGCCGTCACTTGCTACCACTTGCCATTTCTCACTCTTTTTTATATTTTAAATTTTTTTTAAACATTTTGTCAATTACCAAACGCGTTTGTTGTTTATGTTTTTCAAAAAATAAACAAAAAATAAACAAAAATCAGTTTATAAAATTTTTTAAATATAAACTAAAAACGTAAACTTTTCCAAACAGACCCTAAAATTTAATTTATCGAAATTAAAATTCTAGGTATGAATTGAAAAACACACAAAAACCCTGAATATTTATTTATTTATTTATTTATTTATTTGTTTTGGTAATTAACCCAAAATTATATATCTCAAGATTCACCGAATTATCATGTGTCCAGTCCATTCAAACAAATATGCCCTTGTTTTATAATGTTACGACGTCAGAGTGAGCACATTACAATGCACAAAGTTCATAATCTCCACATGGCACGGGAAGCGCTCGACGTAATGCCTCACTGAATCAATTTCGAACTCAACTCAACTGTGCGATCGCACATAGAGAGAGAGAGAGAGAGAGAGGAGAAGAGAGAGAAGAAGAAGAAGAAGAAGAAGAGTGAAGAAACAAGAGATGTGGAGGCGCGCGACTCTACTTTCTTCACTGTTACCTTCATCGAAAGCATCGGTTCTTAACCAGGTACAGATCCGATCTCTCGTTTTTTTACTTCAATTTGCTTTGATCCCCAATTTTTTCCCATTGATTTTCATATAATGATCGTCTTAGCGATTTCTGATCTTCCTTTGTCCAGTCTATTTGGTTACCGAGAAAATGAATGGGAAAACGAAAGCTCGCGTTTTGTGAATCGTTAGATTTTTCAATATTTGCGACCTAAGATTACTAAAATCTCCACTCAGCTGACCTACGTTAGATATTAGATAGCGTTTCATAGTTTTTTTATTTTTATTTTTATTTTATTTATTTATTTTTTTGTGTGTGTTAGAAAGTACTTTTTATGATCGAAAAAAGCAAATTCGCGACTTCTTTGCTTAAAAGTGATTTTAATTTTAATTTTGTTTTATACAACTGTTCTGATAGTATTTTATGCACCTTCCTGTGTTCAAGAAGTTGTAAAAAAAGAAATTAAAAAATTGTTTCATTTTTAGATTCTTAACCAGGAAATGGCACAATTGAGAATGTTGAGGAACCTAAATTGAACTAGATTAACTTGGTTATTTCTCATGGGCACATTCATTGATCAAGTTAATCTAGTTCAATTTAGTTTCTACTTTAGGCTGTGTTTGATTCATGGATGGGATTTGAAATGGAAACGGAGAAAGTATGTGAAAGATGCGTAAAATGTAACTATATTTCATTCACATTTAACCAACTTTTTCCTTTTCTTTTCAAATCTTATCCAAATCCATGAACCAAACGCAGTGAATATTTTTCGGATTTGGAAGAGGATAGTTCTCATAGGAGCTACTTGTATTTTGTAGCAGATCCAAACAGAGACATGTCTCTTTGGTTTGTTGAAGTTTTGATAATCCCAACCGTCTTGTTTTCACATATTTTCTTGCATTGCTGTACATTCAGATCTTTCGTTAATCTCCCTTACATATGCCCCTACATAATTGTTTCTGTTTTAGATGCAGGTAGCCTATGGATTGAAGATTTGGGAAGCATTCAGTACAGATATCTTGACAACGGTATCATCTAATTGCTTGTTGTTTGTGTCTTGGGAGATGTACCTCGAATTTGAGCTAATATGGCATATTATAATCGTGTCTACATATCTACAGATTTAATTTTCTGTATAATCTCATTTGTTTGCTAGAATTTTTTTAGAAATTTTATAATGATTAAATGATTATAATTACTCATGTATACTTACCCAAAAAAATGGAATTTATTCATGTATTGCCTGTGGAGAATGCAATGTTTCTCTGTAACATTTCACTATCCAATAATTTATGTATTTACAGACGTCACACATCCTTACCCAAACAAAATTTTGTCCACTATTCTTATTAGTAGTGGATTACGTCATTATCGTGGTATATTCTTTCAACTAGGATGATGCATATTTTATTCACCCTTCACTTGCTTTGCACTGTGTTCAAGTTCATCCATATCACAACCATCACTGGATTTTAAACGTTAGAGCACATAGCCTCAAAAGCATAATGCACATCTAGCTTTCTAACACCCTCCCTCATGGGCAATTTCATCTTGCACGTGAAGATGCAAACATCGAGTATGTAAAAAAACTAAATGTAAATGGTGAAATTTGAACTCAAGACCTCTTTAACATTAGCTTTAATATCATGTTAGAGCACCATTGTCTCAAAAACTCAAGCTATTAGGAAAGGAGCTCTACAATTATATTATATCGCTGGTCTTACGGCGTTTTGTCACGGTTATATAACCTTTTGTCATTTACTAAGATGGATTTTGAACTTTATATTCGGTTAACAATTAATTTCTTACTGCATAGATACATTACTCTACAAATACAAAATGTGATTTTCTAGTTCTGCCTTTTATCTAAAGTGTTGAGCATCAAAATTACTGTATTCATCAACACAAGGGTATTATAAAGAGTTTCTAATGATCTAATTTTAATTAGTGAGATTTCAGATGGGTTATTTATGTTATGTTATGACCTTATTTGGATGTAGGAAAAAGGTCGAATTCCCAAAAAGAGAAACCTCCGTTCATAACTTTTGTTTTGGGTAATCAACTTTGTATTCTTGTGGAACATTTTTGTTATTTACTTTTCACCCAGAAGAGTGACTTGTGTTATTGTGCATTGCTTGTTTCTTGTTCCTGCTCTTAAACATGTAAATCCTACATCTCACTTGAGACACTCTCATGCTGTACAATTAATGTTTGAAGTGTGATAGGAATGCGTTAATGCGTGTTCAACTTAATTTTGATAATCATGTTATATATCAAAGTTTTCAAATATTTATGTTGATGATATCTAAGATCGTACAATTTGGGTATGTGTGTTAATTATTTTTAGTATACATAACAAATGACATGTTACTCTTGGATGTGTTTTGTATAATGCCCAACAAGTTAACAATTACTTAAACAAAAAAAAAAAAGAGTTTAACAATTACCCATACTGCCATTGACATCAAGATGTATTTTTCCCCTGATGAAAATGCATTGCAAGTAAGATACCAGTTGTCATGCTTTTTAAACATTGCGTTTAATGGTGATTAGCTTGAGATATTTTATAACATCCAGTTTTGATAAAATGTAGACAGATAGCTGTGAACTACTATCTATTCCACTGTGAATACCTATTGAGTATGTATCATGATGCCTTTGAAATGTTTACCATAAACATGACTACAGTTGGGAGAGTATGATGCCAATCCATTAATATCCTATTGTTCCAGGAGGCCTGGTAGCGGAAAAGGTACACAGTGTGCTAAGATTGTTGAGAACTTTGGATTCACACACTTAAGTGCTGGAGATCTGTTACGGAATGAAATATCTTCCAATAGTGAGAATGGGTAAGCACACTAAGTTCTCTGTTGAGGCTCTATTTAGCATGCCTTCAAATTGTGTGATGTCCTCTATTGATCGTCAATTTTTTTATTTTTTATTTTATTTCAGTGCCATGATTCTTGACACAATCAGGGAAGGAAAAATTGTTCTTCTAATGTAACAGTCAAACTGATCCAAAGGGCAATTGAATCAAGTGATAATGATAAATTCCTCATTGATGGTTTCCCACGGACTGAAGAGAACCGTAGGAACATATGAACGAATTGTGAGTGTCTTTTTCTCTATGACAGCGTTTTACGGGAAACATGTTTCGTCTCTTTGTTCATCTCTGATATGTTTCAAGTAATATTTGATGGGGATAGGCATCTGCACTGCATCTGCCTTCAAAATGATTTTCGTTTCTAAAATGTTGTGAAACCCTAGGGAGAGATGAGTCATAATAATTCCTTCCAATGTAATGAGATATGTAAATCAAACTATGAAGTAGCCACTCATGCATGAAATAGTTTTAGAGAAATGGCTGTAATGTAAGAACTCTAATTACTATTGGACTAATTACACTGAATAACCTGCAATGACCAGCTTTATTCTAGATGCAGATTGGAGCAGAACCGAACATTGTGCTTTTCTTTGATTGCCCTGAAGACGAGATGGTGAAACGAGTGCTAAGCCGTAATCAGGTTTTTACTACAGAATTTCAAATAGAATTGCTTAGAAAACCTTTTGTCTTCTCCTTCTCTACCATAATGAAGTGTGATTTCTCTTTTGATTCAGGGGCGAGTTGATGATAATAAAAGATACAGTCAGAAGCGTCTTGAAGTGTTTACATCTTTAAATCTTCCTGTTATCAACCCACTATTCTCAGAAAGGAAAACTTTACAAGGTATTGGTTCAATAGTATTGAGGATATGGAATTAACTTGAGTTGCTACAATTTTAGGCTCATTTTTCATAATTGTATATGTTTTTCAGTCAGTTCATATTAATTCAAATTGACTGCCCTAGTTGGCTTAGATGGGATACTGTTCATCTGAGTTTTGATCATTCAGTTAATTTATTTGTAGAATTATAAAGTTGTTATAGTAATGGAAACCAAATGCAGATTGTGCTGTAGGAAGCAGAAGATGAGATATTTGAACAAGTTCGCCCGATTTTTGCTGCAGTTTGAGGTATTCTTAATATTAAACCATATCTAAATTTTTGTGCTCTCATTCAGTCTGTTTATCTTCACATTGTACACTGGTATATCGTATGCCTCCTTTAACAAGCCTTTTGCAGTCTCTGCTAAAACTTTATGATGATTCAACTCGATCCAATAAAGATTTACTAATTTTCAAAGTTCCATGAAACATATGAAAGATTTCTGAAATCATTTTTCTACTTAAGGGTACAAACCTCTGTACAAATTATGTTGATTTTGCACAAAAACTTCAAGATGCAATATTCACAACCAAAATAAAAAAAAAAAGAAAAAAAGAGAGAGGCTAAAATAGGTGATCAATCAAATTAATCACGTTTTTTTTTTTAGTTTATTGGAGTTTTGTAACCAATATAACTGAAATGAAACAGAGAATTGACTTTGCCTATTTTAAAATATCAGACAATTTTTTCCCTACATCTCTGTACTTCATGTAGAATCATTTGGCACTCAACCCTATTGTATTTTAATTTTTATAGGCAACTTCATTTTACCATGTGGTTTGGGTCGTGTGGTTTACCCTCATAGCATTTGAAATGACCACATAAATCGCTTGTGGTTTGTGGATTAAAGTGTACCGTTAAGCCCATTAACGATTTAATGAAAAGACTAAAATTATCATGTATTTTCGTCATTTGTTTTGAAAGGTAAAGTGCACATTAACCCTTGTTCTTTATTCCATATGCAATTTACCCCCTTGAACTTTGAAAATGAGCATATAACCCTTTATGTCTGTCACTTGTTTCACACTTGTGAAATTGAACAGAACTTTTAATGGTGCACTTCAGTTCACAAATCACTTGGAGATTATGTGGTCATTTCTAAATGTCAGTGGGGTAAACCACACATGGCCCAAAACACTGAGGTAAAGTGAAGTTTGCCCTTTATTTATTTATTTTTTTCAGTAAGTATAGTTTGTTCTTTTATTTTGTAAAAGGGATTTGACAAGTAGAGTTAATGCCATTTCTGTTGATTTTTAATTTGGTGTTTTATGGAAGCAGGTGCTGAAATGAACAGAAGTTGAATGAGGTGAAGAAACGAAGAACCCTGTTGTTTTTCTGCAAAGACGATAATGGGGATACGAACAAATTTCATTTTTGCTCTGCACCATCCCTATCTCTCCTAACAGTCACTTAAAATGGTGCACGTGTTGTAATGAAATTTGTGCATCGTTTCAGCTCAACTGGTTTGCATGGTCCTCTGCAGGAAAGGTCCATCTGATATCCGTTGCCTTTCAGTAAGAGCTAGATATAATCTCATTTCAGTATATCCATAAGAGGCATTTTATTTTGAAAGCTTTGTATCAGATGCATTTCAAATGCCATGGAATAAGGAAATTTTGATTTCCCTAACATCTACAGAGTTTTGTTTTCATTAATCTATATTGGTTCATGAGAAGTAATCTCAACAAAAAAAAAAAAAAAATGGTATATCAGTTCATGATCCATTTTTTTTGTAGCAAAAGTTACATTTGTGCTTCCCTTCTCAACCAAGGGAACCTATGAGCAAATTAGCTGTATGCTGTTTCTCTTGTTTTTCTTTGAGTTATGCTATCGGAGAGAGGGTCACTGCAATGCCCACTGCACAGCAGTGACTGTTGTGCGCCTTGTGGTGCCTGTTTTGGGTTCTATTTTAATGATCTAAATTGTTTATTTTTTAAGAAATATCGAGTAGAACATATACTTATATAAAATCAAATTGATCGGATATTGAAATAGTACTTTCATAAAATCCCATTTGTAAATAAAAAAATGAATTGCAAATAAGATTGCAAGTATAAAATTGAAAACAAATGTGATTTGATAAAAGATGCCATTAATGTCCGATCAAATAATACCTTTATCAAATTACATTTGTAGATAAGAAAAATGAATTGCAAATAAGATTGTAAGTATAAATTGAAAACGAATGTGATTTGATGATGTTATTGATTCCGATCAATTTGATTTTTTAAAGTATATTATACTCTATATTTTTAAAAAATAAATTATTTAGATTATCAAAATATGATCCGAAATGGACCCATGAGGTGCACGCAGTGAATGCACATAAGTTAAAAAAGAAAAAATGAAGAAGATTCAGTATGAAAACCTCTAAATATGCCAAGGGCTCTAAGTACACTCGTTTCTACTCAGTCTCTCATCAACCACATCTCTTTTTGAAATGTTTTTCTTAAAGACAGGTTTTTTCAAAGAAAATACAGAAACAGAGTTTCCAACACTCCAATATTCATTACATATTCTTGAATTTCAGAATTGATTTATTTACTTCTAATGTATGGAGAAAAGAATACCACAAGCCAACAATCACAGGTATCGAAATTGGACAAATTTCGAGCTCAGAAAAAAGAGTAAATTGAGAATACGATACACCATATACGAAAAAAGTGCCTTCACATAATACTGATTGGACCTATTTCGAGCTCGAAAAAAAAAAAAAAAGAAAAAAAAAAGAAGTAAATTAACAAATACAATCACCATAATACGATACAAGTGTCAGCGATGTGCCATCCAAAAAGAATACATCTAAAACTCTGCTCAAATCCTCTCTTGTATCTTTAGAGCCACGCTTTCAGCTGCAAACCATCAATCACGGGTTTTGAATTCATTGCCTCATACTCGAAAAGCTTTTATGCAAAAATTTATTAGTCTCTTCATCCAAGCTCCCAAAGGTCTGTGTGTGTAAACAATTAGCAGGTCAAATATTGATTACAATTTCATCTATGTTTCCCTTATCCAAATGTGTGAAGTGAAAGCAAACAAGCAAACATTCCAATCAGCAACTTTGAAATATCAGCAAGCGGAATTAGGAGTTAAATAAGCTTTCAAAAGAACCAAAATTTCATACAAAAAGTGAAATAATGCATCTAATTCAAATTAAAAGGGTTGGGTAACCCAAGAATGTTATCTATTTCGTATTTGAATGCATCCAAGAAAAGACCCAAGGAAAGCCCAGCCTTCCAAAAATTAAACATGGTAATAAGGCTCTTGATGTTGTTGAGTAGAGGAAAAGAAGCTTTGTACATGAGAGCACCAATTCCCTCAACCACAATCACAGCCAAGCCAGCAGACAAAATATCCCAGTCACCAGTTTGTCCCTATGACAGTGGAAAGGCTGTTGCACAATAAAACCCAATCAAGAAAACAGCGCTTTCATGAAAACCATTCTTGATCTCCTGGATTCTAGCATTCAATTTGACTTGAAGAGCTTGAATAGCCCTAAATAATCGAGTCCTACCACTGGTGCCATGTTGAGGAGGAGAATCCAATCCATTGCCATCTATGCTGCTCCTGATTGACCAACCCATCCTCCTAAACCGTTCAAGATTTCTGAGTTAGTTTGGCTGAATTCAACGATATAAGTTGCTATTTTTCTATTATTTTCCAACAATAAGAAAGATAAGATTAAAAAAACTAAGAATGATGAGATACATTTTCAAGGATATTAGGTAAAATGTGATTGTAGAATATAACCACTTTGCAGAGAAAAAGTTAAGGCAAGATCAGAAGATTTAGCATAACCAAGGATCAAAGGATCAAAGTGGCGCCTTCTAATGATGGTATCACTGCCATTTGGGTATGATAGAGAGAATACCATAGTATATCACTAGTTTATACAAACACTTGAAGACATGTTTACTTAAGACACCCACTCACCTCACATCTCACTTCATGTAACACAATTTGAAGTGATATGCAAGGAATGAAAAATTTTCCTGGAATTTCTGCTTCCATTCAAATAGAAAAAGGCACAAAGGCCAATTCTTCTGGTGTAATAAAAATGCAAATCATGTTTTAGATATCATAGAACACAGCAGTGCCAAGGCTTATTGGAAAGCGAAAAGTTATTTTAAGATAAAAATGCATAAATGATGTCTTAGGCCTCATTTAGTAACATTACTTTTTAGCCTAAAAGCCAAAAAGTTACTAAAAAAACCAAAAAATCAAAAAATCAACAACCTATACCAAAAAGTCAAAGATTTTCATTTTCTCTCTACTTTTTTGCACATCTTTTCATAAAAAATCAAAAGTCATTCCAAACATACTATTTTTTTACATCATATTTTAGCCAAAAAGTTCCTAAAAAAGTCTGTTCCTAACGAAGCCTTAATTCCGATCAAATCTATGGGAATAGATATATAAAAGTAATCCTATTATGTAAGCCTTATTTTCGATATATTCACAAGATGTGCCTAAGCATCAAGTCTATCTCAAGGTGCGAGGTACACTCCTTGCATATCTTGCTGGAAGGGTTTGTTGAGGTCAGTTGGTGTTGTGTAGTTTGGTTGGTTTGTTTAGGTTGCTTTTATCTACCTATTTTAGGATTTTAGTTGTTGTTTGGTAGGGGTATGCCTCTTGTGTAAGTTGTATTAGCTATGAAGCACGGACACACTGAGACACATTGGAATGAGTCAGATATGTTGGGGACACTTCAGACACGCGGGGACAAGTTTGGGATTCATTTTTTTCCACCGGAATAGCATACCAAGATTGATGAATTTGATGAGAATAACTATTTGACAAAGAATAAATATATACTACTTGAAAAATATGATATATAATAATTATACAAAAGTATATGCTTTGCACGTTTTCCCGATATCGTGTCCGATATTTTTTAAAATTTATGTGCCCGTGTTGTGTCATATTCCATGTTTCTTAGCCTAGAAGTATTACATATTTTGGGCAAAGTAACTTTTATGTTCTTTGGATATCATTACTAAATGGTCATTGTGTATCCTTCTTTCTTTTTTATTTATTTATTTGTTTTTGGTAATTAACCCAAAATTATATATCTCAAGATTCACCGAATTATCATGTGTCCAGTCCATTCAAACAAATATGCCCTTGTTTTATAATGTTACGACGTCAGAGTGAGCACATTACAATGCACAAAGTTCATAATCTCCACATGGCACGGGAAGCGCTCGACGTAATGCCTCACTGAATCAATTTCGAACTCAACTCAACTGTGCGATCGCACATAGAGAGAGAGAGAGAGAGAGAGAGGGAGAAGAAGAAGAAGAAGAAGAAGAAGAAGAAGAAGAGTGAAGAAACAAGAGATGTGGAGGCGCGCGACTCTACTTTCTTCACTGTTACCTTCATCGAAAGCATCGGTTCTTAACCAGGTACAGATCCGATCTCTCGTTTTTTTACTTCAATTTGCTTTTGATCCCCAATTTTTTCCCATTGATTTTCATATAATGATCGTCTTAGCGATTTCTGATCTTCCTTTGTCCAGTCTATTTGGTTACCGAGAAAATGAATGGGAAAACGAAAGCTCGCGTTTTGTGAATCGTTAGATTTTTCAATATTTGCGACCTAAGATTACTAAAATCTCCACTCAGCTGACCTACGTTAGATATTAGATAGCGTTTCATAGTTTTTTTATTTTTATTTTTATTTTATTTATTTATTTTTTTGTGTGTGTTAGAAAGTACTTTTTATGATCGAAAAAAGCAAATTCGCGACTTCTTTGCTTAAAAGTGATTTTAATTTTAATTTTGTTTTATACAACTGTTCTGATAGTATTTTATGCACCTTCCTGTGTTCAAGAAGTTGTAAAAAAAGAAATTAAAAAATTGTTTCATTTTTAGATTCTTAACCAGGAAATGGCACAATTGAGAATGTTGAGGAACCTAAATTGAACTAGATTAACTTGAGTTATTTCTCATGGGCACATTCATTGATCAAGTTAATCTAGTTCAATTTAGTTTCTACTTTAGGCTGTGTTTGATTCATGGATGGGATTTGGAAATGGAAACGGAGAAAGTATGTGAAAGATGCGTAAAATGTAACTATATTTCATTCACATTTAACCAACTTTTTCCTTTTCTTTTCCAAATCTTTATCCAAATCCATGAACCAAATGCAGTGAATATTTTTCGGATTTGGAAGAGGATAGTTCTCATAGGAGCTACTTGTATTTTGTAGCAGATCCAAACAGAGACATGTCTCTTTGGTTTGTTGAAGTTTTGATAATCCCAACCGTCTTGTTTTCACATATTTTCTTGCATTGCTGTACATTCAGATCTTTCGTTAATCTCCCTTACATATGCCCCTACATAATTGTTTCTGTTATTAGATGCAGGTAGCCTATGGATTGAAGATTTGGGAAGCATTCAGTACAGATATCTTGACACCGGTATCATCTAATTGCTTGTTGTTTGTGTCTTGGGAGATGTACCTCGAATTTGAGCTAATATGGCATATTATAATCGTGTCTACATATCTACAGATTTAATTTTCTGTATAATCTCATTTGTTTGCTAGAATTTTTTTAGAAAATTTTATAATGATTAAATGATTATAATTACTCATGTATACTTACCCAAAAAAATGGAATTTATTCATGTATTGCCTGTGGAGAATGCAATGTTTCTCTGTAACATTTCACTATCCAATAATTTATGTATTTACAGACGTCAACACATCCTTACCCAAACAAAATTTTGTCCACTATTCTTATTAGTAGTGGATTACGTCATTATCGTGGTATATTCTTTCAACTAGGATGATGCATATTTTATTCACCCTTCACTTGCTTTGCACTGTGTTCAAGTTCATCCATATCACAACCGATCACTGGATTTTAAACGTTAGAGCACCACTAGCCTCAAAAGCATAATGCACATCTAGCTTTCTAACACCCTCCCTCATGGGCAATTTCATCTTGCACGTGAAGATGCAAACATCCGAGTATGTAAAAAAACTAAATGTAAATGGTGAAATTTGAACTCAAGACCTCTTTTAACATTAGCTTTAATATCATGTTAGAGCACCATTGTCTCAAAAACTCAAGCTATTAGGAAAGGAGCTCTACAATATATATTATCGCTGGTCTTACGGCGTTTTGTCACGGTTATATAACCTTTTGTCATTTACTAAGATGGATTTTGAACTTATATATTCGGTTAACAATTAATTTCTTACTGCATAGATACGTTACTCTACAAATACAAAATGTGATTTTCTAGTTCTTGCCTTTTATCTAAAGTGTTGAGCATCAAAATTACTGTATTCATCAACACAAGGGTATTATAAAGAGTTTCTAATGATCTAATTTTAATTTTAGTGAGATTTCAGATGGGTTATTTATGTTATGTTATGACCTTATTTGGATGTAGGAAAAAGGTCGAATTCCCAAGAAAGAGAAACCTCCGTTCATAACTTTTGTTTTGGGTAATCAACTTTGTATTCTTGTGGAACATTTTTGTTATTTACTTTTCACCCAGAAGAGTGACTTGTGTTATTGTGCATTGCTTGTTCTTGTTCCTGCTCTTAAACATGTAAATCCTACATCTCACTTGAGACACTCTCATGCTGTACAATTAATGTTTGAAGTGTGAAAGGAATGCGTTAATGCGTGTTCAACTTAATTTTGATAATCATGTTATATATCAAAGTTTTCAAATATTTATGTTGATGATATCTAAGATCGTACAATTAGGGTATGTGTGTTAATTTTATTCTTAGTATAACATAACAAATGACATGTTACTCTTGGATGTGTTTGTATAATGCCCAACAAGTTTACAATTACTTAAACAAAAAAAAAAAAGAGTTTACAATTACCCATACTGCCATTGACATCAAGATGTATTTTTCCCCTGATGAAAAATGCATTGCAAGTAAGATACCAGTTGTCATGCTTTTTAAACATTGCGTTTAATGGTGATTAGCTTGAGATATTTTATAACATCCAGTTTGATAAAATGTAGACAGATAGCTGTGAACTACTATCTATTCCACTGTGAATACCTATTGAGTATGTATCATGATGCCTTTGAAATGTTTACCATAAACATGACTACAGTTGGGAGAGTATGATGCCAATCCATTAATATCCTATTGTTTCAGGAGGCCCTGGTAGCGGAAAAGGTACACAGTGTGCTAAGATTGTTGAGAACTTTGGATTCACACACTTAAGTGCTGGAGATCTGTTACGGAATGAAATATCTTCCAATAGTGAGAATGGGTAAGCACACTAAGTTCTCTGTTGAGGCTCTATTTAGCATGCCTTCAAATTGTGTGATGTCCTCTATTGATCGTCAATTTTTTTATTTTTTATTTTATTTCAGTGCCATGATTCTTGACACAATCAGGGAAGGAAAAATTGTTCCTTCTAATGTAACAGTCAAACTGATCCAAAGGGCAATTGAATCAAGTGATAATGATAAATTCCTCATTGATGGTTTCCCACGGACTGAAGAGAACCGTAGGACATATGAACGAATTGTGAGTGTCTTTTTCTTATGACAGCGTTTAACGGGAAACATGTTTCGTCTCTTTGTTCATCTCTGATATGTTTCAAGTAATATTTGATGGGGATAGGCATCTGCATCTGCATCTGCCTTCAAAATGATTTTCGTTTCTAAAATGTTGTGAAACCCTAGGGAGAGATGAGTCATAATAATTCCTTCCAATGTAATGAGATATGTAAATCAAACTATGAAGTAGCCACTCATGCATGAAATAGTTTTAGAGAAATGGCTGTAATGTAAGAACTCTAATTACTATTGGACTAATTACACTGAATAACCTGCAATGACCAGCTTTATTCTAGATGCAGATTGGAGCAGAACCGAACATTGTGCTTTTCTTTGATTGCCCTGAAGACGAGATGGTGAAACGAGTGCTAAGCCGTAATCAGGTTTTTACTACAGAATTTCAAATAGAATTGCTTAGAAAACCTTTTGTCTTCTTCCTTCTCTACCATAATGAAGTGTGATTTCTCTTTTGATTCAGGGGCGAGTTGATGATAATAAAGATACAGTCAGAAAGCGTCTTGAAGTGTTTACATCTTTAAATCTTCCTGTTATCAACTACTATTCTCAGAAAGGAAAACTTTACAAGGTATTGGTTCAATATGTATTGAGGATATGGAATTAACTTGAGTTGCTACAATTTTAGGCTCATTTTTCATAATTGTATATGTTTTTCAGTCAGTTCATATTAATTCAAATTGACTGCCCTAGTTGGCTTAGATGGGATACTGTTCATCTTGAGTTTTGATCATTCAGTTAATTTAATTTTGTAGAATTATAAAGTTGTTATAGTAATGGAAACCAAATGCAGATTCGTGCTGTAGGAACAGAAGATGAGATATTTGAACAAGTTCGCCCGATTTTTGCTGCAGTTGAGGTATTCTTAATATTAAACCATATCTAAATTTTTGTGCTCTCATTCAGTCTGTTTATCTTCACATTGTACACTGGTATATCGTATGCCTCCTTTAACAAGCCTTTTGCAGTCTCTGCTAAAACTTTATGATGATTCAACTCGATCCAATAAAGATTTACTAATTTTCAAAGTTCCATGAAACATATGAAAGATTTCTGAAATCATTTTTCTACTTAAGGGTACAAACCTCTGTACAAATTATGTTGATTTTGCACAAAAACTTCAAGATGCAATATTCACAACCAAAATAAAAAAAAAAAGAAAAAAAGAGAGAGGCTAAAATAGGTGATCAATCAAATTAATCACGTTTTTTTTTTAGTTTATTGGAGTTTTGTAACCAATATAACTGAAATGAAACAGAGAATTGACTTTGCCTATTTTAAAATTGAACATGTTTTGCTGTCTTAAGGAGTGTCTGTACTTCATGTAGAATCATTTGGCACTCAACCCTATTGTATTTTAATTTTTTATAGGCAAACTTCATTTTACCCCATGTGGTTTGGGTCGTGTGGTTTACCCTCATAGCATTTGGAAATGACCACATAAATCGCTTGTGGTTTGTGGACTAAAGTGTACCGTTAAGCCCATTAACGATTTAATGAAAAAGACTAAAATTATCATGTATTTTCGTCATTTGTTTGAAAGGTAAAGTGCACATTAACCCTTGTTCTTTATTCCATATGCAATTTACCCCCTTGAACTTTGAAAATGAGCATATAACCCCTTTATGTCTGTCACTTGTTTCACACTTGTGAAATTGAACAGAACTTTTAATGGTGCACTTCAGTTCACAAATCACTTGGAGATTATGTGGTCATTTCTAAATGTCAGTGGGGTAAACCACACATGGCCCAAAACACTGAGGGTAAAGTGAAGTTTGCCCTTTATTTATTTATTTTTTCAGTAAGTATAGTTTGTTCTTTTATTTTGTAAAAGGGATTTGACAAGTAGAGTTAATGCCATTTCTGTTGATTTTTAATTTGGTGTTTTATGGAAGCAGGTGCTGAAATGAACAGAAGTTGAATGAGGTGAAGAAACGAAGAACCCTGTTGTTTTTCTGCAAAGACGATAATGGGGATACGAACAAATTTCATTTTTGCTCTGCCACCATCCCTATCTCTCCTAACAGTCACTTAAAATGGTGCACGTGTTGTAATGAAATTTGTGCATCGTTTCAGCTCAACCTGGTTTGCATGGTCCTACTGCAGGAAAGGTCCATCTGATATCCGTTGCCTTTCAGTAAGAGCTAGATATAATCTCATTACAGTATATCCATAAGAGGCATTTTATTTTGAAAGCTTTGTATCCGATGCATTTCAAATGCCATGGAATAAGGAAATTTTGATTTCCCTAACATCTACAGAGTTTGTTTTCATTAATCTATATTGGTTCATGAGAAGTAATCTCAACAAACAAAAAAAAAAATGGTATATCAGTTCATGATCCATTTTCTTTTGTAGCAAAAGTTACATTTGTGACTTCCCTTCTCAGCCAAGGGAACCTATGAGCAAATTAGCTGTATGCTGTTTCTCTTGTTTTTCTTTGAGTTATGCCATACGGAGAGAGGGTCACTGCAGTGCCCACTGCACAGCAGTGACTCTTGTGCGCCTTGTGGTGCCTGTTTTGGGTTCTATTTTAATGATCTAAATTGTTTATTTTTTAAGAAATATCGAGTAGAACATATACTTATATAAAAATCAAATTGATCGGATATTGAAATAGTACTTTCATAAAATCACATTTGTAAATAAAAAAATGAATTGCAAATAAGATTGCAAGTATAAAATTGAAAACAAATGTGATTTGATAAAGATGCCATTGATGTCCGATCAATAGTATCTTTATCAAATCACATTTGTAGATAAGAAAAATGAATTGCAAATAAGATTGTAAGTATAAAACTGAAAATAAATGTGATTTGATGAAGGTGTTATTGATGTTCGATCAATTTGATTTTTTATAAGTGTATTATACTCGATATTTTTTTAAAAATAAATTATTTAGATTATCAAAATATGATCCCAAATGGACCCCATGAGGTGCACAGCAGTGAATGCTATATAAGTTAAAAAAGAAAAAATGAAGGAGATTCAGTATGAAAGGGAATATGGTATTATTACTTTTTAACCTCTAAATATGCCAAGGCCTCTAAGTACACTCTCGTTTCTACTCAGTCTCTCATCATCTACATCTCTTTTTGAAATGTTTGTCTTAAAGACAGTTTTTTCAAGAAAAATGCAGAAACCAGAGTTTCCACACTCCAATATTTATTCATTACATATTCTTGAATTTCAGAATTTGATTTATTTACTTTTAATGTATGGAGAAAAGAATACCACAAGTTCCAACAATCACAGGTATCGAAATTGGACAAATTTCGAGCTCAGAAAAAAGAGTAAATTGACAATACGATACACCATATACGAAAAAAGTGCCTTCGCATGATACTGATTGGACCTATTTCGAGCTCGAAAAAAAAAAAGAGAAAAAAAAAGAAGTAAATTAACAATACAATCACCATAATACGATACAAGTGTCAGCGATGTGCCATCCAAAAAGAATACATCATATAACTCTGCTCAAATCTTCTCTTGTATCTTAGAGCCACGCTTTCAGCTGCAAACCATCAATCACGGGTTTTGAATTCATTGCCTCATACTCGAAAAGCTTTTATGCAAAAATTTATTAGTCTCTCATCCAAGCTCCCAAGGCTGTGTGTGTAAACAATTAGCAGGTCAAATATTGATTACAATTTCATCTATGTTTCCCTTATCCTAAATGTGTGAAGTGAAAGCAAACAAGCAAACATTCCAATCAGCAACTTTTGAAATATCAGCAAGCGGAATTAGGAGTTAAATAAGCTTTCAAAAGAACCAAAATTTCATACAAAAAAGTGAAATAATGCATCTAATTCAAAATTAAAAGGGTTGGGTAACCCAAGAATGTTATCTATTTCGTATTTGAATGCATCCAAGAAAAGACCCAAGGAAAGCCCAGCCTTCCAAAAATTAAACATGGTAATAAGGCTCTTGATGTTGTTGAGTAGAGGAAAAGAAGCTTTGTACATGAGAGCACCAATTCCCTCAACCACAATCACAGCCAAGCCAGCAGACAAAATATCCCAGTCACCAGTTTGTCCTATGACAGTGGAGAAGGCTGTTGCACAATAAAACCCAATCAAGAAAAACAGCGCTTTCATGAAAAATCCATTCTTGATCTCCTGGATTCTAGCATTCAATTTGACTTGAAGAGCTTGAATAGCCCTAAATAATCGAGTCCTACCACTGGTGCCATTCGTAGGAGGAGAATCCAATCCATTGCCATCTATGCTGCTCCTGATTGACCAACCCATCCTCCTAAACCGTTCAAGATTTCTGAGTTAGTTTGGCTAAATTCAACGATATAAGTTGCTTATTTTTCTATTATTTTCCAACCAATAAGAAAGATAAGATTAAAAAAACTAAGAATGATGAGATACATTTTCAAGGATATTAAGGTAAAATGTGATTGTAGAATATAACCACTTTGCAGAAGAAAAAGTTAAGGCAAGATCACGAAGATTTAGCATAACCAAGGATCAAAGGATCAAAGTGGCGCCTTCTAATGATGGTATCACCTGCCATTTGGGTATGATAGAGAGAATACCATAGTATATCACTAGTTTATACAAACACTTGAAGACATGTTTACTTAAGACACCCCACTCACCTGACATCTCACTTCATGTAACACAATTTGAAGTGATATGCAAGGAATGAAAAATTTTCCTGGAATTTCTGCTTCCATTCAAATAGAAAAAAGGCACAAGGCCAATTCTTCTGGTGTAATAAAAATGCAAATCATGTTTTAGATATCATAGAACACAGCAGTGCCAAGGCTTATTGGAAAGCGAAAAGTAATTTTAAGATGAAAATGCATAAATGATGTCTTAGGCCTCATTTAGTAACATCACTTTTTAGCCTAAAAGCCAAAAAGTTACTAAAAAAACCAAAAAATCAAAAAATCAACAACCTATACCAAAAAGTCAAAGATTTCATTTTCTCTCTACTTTTTGCACATCTTTTTATAAAAAATCAAAAAGTCATCCCAAACATACTAATTTTTTTTACATCATATTTTAGCCAAAAAGTTCGTAAAAAAGTCTGTTCCTAAACGAAGCCTTAATTCCGATCAAATCTATGGGAATAGATATATAAAAGTAATCCTATTATGTAAGCCTTATTTTCGATTAATTCACAAGATGTGCCTAAGCATCAAGTCTATCTCAAGGTGCAAGGTACACTCCTTGCTTATCTTGCTGGAAGTAACAAAAAACAAAAAAATAAGTCTACTTTTGTAAATGTACGTAAATTCAAATTATTTTCTTCTTTAGGCCATGAAGCCATTTTTTATTTTAGGACTTACTTGTAAATGCTGGTTGATGGGTCATGAACTACACTAAAGAAACATAACTGTTGAAAGTCTCTCCAATGCAAGGCAAAAGCAGTCTCATATGGGCAAGTAACAACTAGAAATTTTGATTTGAAACTCCTGGATGATGGAAGAGAGGTATATCTTGGATTATTTATGTATCTTAATGAAGCTGGGACCTTTCCTGACATTGCTACATTAGAGCCTGCAGTTAAAAATTCAATATTATAAGGAAAAAGATAAAAAGCATTTCATAAACAAATTGACAAAATTGCCATGAACAAATGTAAATAGGCAAGGAATAAAAAAAGATGTCAGTTACAATATTACAAAAAAAAAAAAAAAAATGAACGGAAAAAAAAGGGAAACTTTTATTAAGTCGTATTTAGACAAGAAAAAAAGTGCATAAACTATTATAATTGTGTGTGTGTGTGTGTGTGTTTTGTAAATTAGATAAGTCAGGGCAGATATCAAGAAAGAACACAATCTAACGAAAATGTTATACATATTGTTTGCCCAAACCAAGAGCTCTTATGATGCGCTTATACTTGTATGTAAGAATTATGTACTGTACCAAGCTTATCCACCAGTAGATGCAACCTGTACACACTTCCATCCATTGGTGAAAATAGAGGGTTGTTCCATGAATGATGGGGCTTGTGTACCACTTGGTAAATTTTGAGAAAGATATCAATCATGTTAGTAAGGCTTATTCATCAGCCTTTAAATCACATTCTTTTAGAGACCTCAACCTCAACATTTGCTTCGTACCTTTCTATCTTTTAACATTTATGATAAAAGGAAGCTAAGTTTGTGCTAGCCAATCAAAAGGAATATTTTTGGAATCTGCATTTGTCAGTGTTGACCTTGAGGGTAAGGCACAAAGGCAGCCTTGGGCCCCCAAATTATGTAAGCCCTTAGGTAGTGTTTGATTCATTGGAATGAAATACAATGGAATGATCATTCAATCATGATGTCCATTCTCATGTTTGGTTCACTAAAAGGACATGATGAACAATGTATTGCAAATGGAATCATCATTTATCATTGTAAGGGAATGGTCATTTCATAGGAAGGCTAAAGAATGACCATTTCATTTTATTCCATCTCATTCTAGTAAACCAAACAGTACCTTATTCCATCTCATTAGCAGTAAGCTTTCCAAAAAAAGTTGATAAAATCTTACATTCAATCAACCATTTGTCACAAGAAAAATTAAATAGATTAACTATTCTATCCATTGAAAAGGATATGGCAGATAAACTAGATTATACAAACTTAATTAGTAATTTTGAAGATAAGAAAAGTGAGAAGAGTAAAGTTTAATTGATATTTTGTTGTAGTTGTTCAATTTTTATTTGGTATTACTACTTTGAATTTTGTTTAGCGTTTTTTTCCCTATTGTTGTGAACTGGATTTTACTAAACTCTAAAGCAATAAGACAAGCTAAGTAGCACAGACATGGACATAACACTGACACGTCAACACGTCAATTTTCAAAAAAAAGTAGGACACAACAAGCTTGGGATACATTAAAAATTTGTATTTTTATAAATTTATTATATGCCATATATATGAATAATTTATTCAAAAATAATTAAAAAAAAATATAACACAACACATTTTTCACATTAAACATCAAGATATCATCTACATAGCAATTAAATTATAAACAATGCAAAACAATTAAATAACATTGTATTACACAATGTATTCATCTTATAAATATTTCAAAACATATGTAGAATGCATAAATTATGTTATGAAGAATGGAGAACATTGTTATAATGAAGGGATTAATCATATAGGACGTATTTGGGGGGGGTTCAAGAAGTGTCGCCGAAGTGCCCATGAAGTGTTGCTAAAGTGTCCGATGTTATGAATTTAATATTTTAATCAAGACAAATTGAAGAAGTGTTGGACATGCTTTTAGGAGTGCCCAAAGTGTGTCGTGTTGGACATGACATGACATGCTTCCTCCGTAGAAGTGTCCCTGCTTTTTAGAAACAAGATTTTTATCTTTATTAATGATTTTCTTCATATGATAATGTATTGTAAGTAAATTTTATTTTATAATTGTACTTGTCATTTTACCCATAAACCTCTTTATTTTTTGGTATTACATAAGAGGCCCCATCCTAAGATTTCGCCTAGGGCAATTGCTCACCATGCTACTATAGGCAAGTTCTGTAGATTCCATTAAACAGGAAAAAGAAAGAAGAAAGAATATATAAAGAAAATAATCAAACCAAACCAAGCCTTAAGTCCCATCAAATGGGGTCGGCTACATAAATCTTTCTTCTCCATTCGACTCTATTCAAGACCATTTCATTAGTCAAATTAAGGATGTTCATATCTCTATTTATTACACTACCTTACTTCAATCTAGGTCTGCCCTTTCTCCTAACACATCCATCTACCGTTACTGTATCACATCTCTTCACTACTGCCTCTGTTGGTCTCCGTTGTATATGACCAAACCATCTCAATCTATTTTCCCTCAACTTATCTTCTATCGGTACTACTTCTATCCATACTCAAATATACTCATTCCTAACTCTATCTTTTCTAGTCTTGTCACACATCCACCTTAGCATCCTCATCTTAACAACACTCATTTTATCTACATGTTGTTTCTTAGTTGCCCAACATTCCGACCCATATAACATCGCTGGTCTAATAGCCATTCTATAAAACTTCCCTTTTAGTCTAGTGGGTACTCATTTATCGCACAGTACCCCAAACGCACTCTGCCACTTAAGCCACCGCGCCTTGATTCAATGGACCACATCCGCTCCAATCTCCTTAGTCGTTTTGATAATTGATCCTAAATAACGAAAATGTTCTCTTAGATAGTTTTTGATTCTCAATTTTCACTTCTCCTCTATGTACTTTGTCTTAATTTTGCTTATCCTAAATCCTTTAGATTCAAGTGCTTCTTTCCAAGTCTCCAACTTAGTGTTAACTCTTTCTCCAAGTCTCCAACTTAGTGTTAACTCTTTCTCTAGTCTCATTCATTAACACGATATCATCTGCAAAAAACAAACACCGTGGCACATCATCTTAAATATTTTTCGTCAACTCACCCATAACTAAAACAAAAAGATAAGAATTTAAAGTCGATCCTTAGTGTAACCTACAATAATTGAAAATTCACTTGTCCTTCCAACAACCGATGGTTATCACACCTTCATACATATCCCTAATCATATCAATATAACATTTTGTTACCCCTTTCTTCTCTAACATCCACCAGATTATATCCGAGGCACTCTATCTCAAAATCAATAAAAACCAGACGCAAACTAATTTCAATAAACAATATATATTATATAAAAAAAAAAAATTACTATAAACAACAAAATTGGCTCAACAGAGTCAACATAAAATCAAAATTAGGGGATAGACTCCAAACACATAAAATTCAAGCAAAATTACCATAAACAACAAAAACAAAACAACTGCAAGCACAAAAGAAAAGAACAATATTACCTATAAACAACCAAATTGGTATGCCAAGGTTGAGTTCAGTCAGCCATAAAATTCAAACATGCCTATAACTACAAACACGTTATATAGGTCCATACAAAATCAGGACCCAAATGATGATGATACAATGATCAAATAAAATCCATACCTATACAAACATATATAACAAAGAATTGCAGAGAAAGGTAAAGGAAAACGAAAGAAATAGAGGAGAAATTGGCTTACAGAAGCAAATCTAGGGTTTTTGTGTCTCCTCCTTCTAGGTTTCTGTACTCACTCTCTGTTCTGTGATTTGAAATTGGACTGCAGTCATCGGACGGAAGGGAATTGCAGGTGTATATCTAGCCTAGCCTGTGAAAGAGAGTGTGATGATTGGAAAATGGAAAATGGAAAATGGAAAATGGAAAATGGAAAATGGAAAATGGAAAATGGAAAATGGAAAATGGAAAATGGAAAATGGAAAATGGAAAATGGAAAATGGAAAATGGAAAATGGAAAATGGAAAATGGAAAATGGAAAATGGAAAATGGAAAATGGAAAATGGAAAATGGAAAATGGAAAATGGAAAATGGAAACTCCTCTATTCTCTTTCTGTTTTCCTCTCGTTGGTAAGGTAAATTTTGTTTGGTGGTGGATTGGAGGTTCCGTGGCCGCAACCGACCCGCGCCCACCCCTATTCCTAACTCTATCTTTTCTAGTGTTGCCACACATCCACCTTAGCGTCCTCATCTTAACAACACTCATTTTATCTACATGTTGTTTCTTAGTTGCCCAACATTCCGACCCATACAACATCGCTGGTCTAATAGCCATTCTATAAAACTTCCCTTTTAGTCTAGTGGGTACTCATTTATCGCACAGTACCCCAAACGCACTCTGCCACTTAAGCCACCACGCCTTGATTCAATGGACCACATCCGCTCCAATCTCCTTAGCCGTTTTGATAATCGATCCTAAATAACGAAAATGTTCTCTTAGATAGTTTTTGATTCTCAATTTTCACTTCTCCTCTATGTACTTTGTCTTAATTTTGCTTATCGTAAATCCTTTAGATTCAAGTGCTTCTCTCCAAGTCTCCAACTTAGTGTTTAACTCTTTCTTTAGTCTCATTCATTAACACGATATCATTTGCAAAAAACATACACCGTGGCACATCATCTTAAATATTTTTCGTCAACTCACCCATAACTAAAGCAAAAAGATAAGAATTTAAAGTTGATCCTTAGTGTAACCTACAATAATTAGAAATTCACTTGTCCTTCCAACAACCGATGGTTATCACACCTTCACACATATCCCTAATCATATCAATATAACATTTTTTTTTATAAGTATATCAATATAACATTTTGTTACCCCTTTCTTCTCTAACACCCACCAGATTATATCCGAGGCACTCTATCTCAAAATCAATAAAAACCATATGCAAACTAATTTCAATAAACAATATATATTATATAAAATAAAAAAAAATACTATAAACAACAAAATTGGCTCAACAGAGTCAACATAAAATCAAAATTAGGGGATAGACTCCATACACATAAAATTCAAGCAAAATTACCATAAACAACGAAAACAAAACAACTGCAAGCACAAAAGAAAAGAACAATATTACCTATAAACAACCAAATTGGTATGCCAAGGTTGAGTTCAGTCAGCCATAAAATTCAAACATGCCTATAACTACAAACACGTTATATAGGTCCATACAAAATCAGGACCCAAATGATGATGATACAATGATCAAATAAAATCCATACCTATACAAACATATATAACAAAGAATTGCAGAGAAAGGTAAAGGAAAACGAAAGAAATAGAGGAGAAATTGGCTTACAGAAGCAAATCTAGGGTTTTTGTGTCTCCTCCTTCTAGGTTTCTGTTCTCACTCTCTGTTCTGTGATTTGAAATTGGACTGCAGTCATCGGACGGAAGGGAATTGCAGGTGTATATCTAGAATCAGGATCCTCTCCTTGCAGCCTCCATCCTTGCGCCTGTCCTTGCAGGCCTTCGGGTCTACTTTTAGACCCAATTTTGATAATCTGAACCGTTCATATTTTATGATTTATTCAGTATATCATACCTGTAAAAAATCAAGTTGATCGGATATCAGAAAGTATGTGTTCGAAAAATTGAACTAAAAACTATTTTTTAAATAATTTAATAAACAGTTTTCCAAACACATACTTTCTGATATCCGATCAACTTGATTTTTTACAGGTATGATATACTGAATAAATCATAAAATATGAACGGTTCGGATTATTAAAATTTGGCCTAAAAGTAGACCCGAAGGCCTGCAAGGACGGGCACAAGTACCAAGCTGCAAGGAGAGAACCTTGGCTCGTATATCTAGCCTAGCCTGTGAAAGAGAGTGTGGTGATTGGAAAATGGAAACTCCTCTATTCTCTTTCTGTTTTCCTCTCGTTGGTAAGGTAAATTTTGTTTGGTGCGGAAATTTGAGAAACAATTTTAAAAAAAAATAAACAAGATATGTGAAATTAAAGATATATTTTATTTATTTATTTTTAAATTTCTTTTCAAATTTTCTAACTAAACACAGTTTGAGAGTAAAAAATAAGAGAGAATTACCTTATAGTGGATTCGGATTGAAGATGTAAGAGCATCCACAATGGATGCGTTAGTGAGTGTGTTAAAAGATTGTTTGGGATGTTCTAAATAAACATACTTTTTGATTTTTTATGAAATATGGGTTGAGTTTGAAGTAATGTGATAGAGAGATGATGTGACTGAAATAAAATAGTGACTTTTTGACTTTTTTAGATTATGACAAATAAGGCTTTAGTGTCATGTGTTAGTTTTTAGCTAGCCAAAAACACTGTTGGGTGCTGCAATGGGTGTGTTAGTTGTGTGTTAATTGTGGCTAGCGTTTTAGCTAGCGAAGGAAGAGAGAGATGTGTGCCTGGGGAAGTCTCCCCGGACGTCTCGCTGGAAATCCATCTCTGATGTCCAAGGGCTTGTTTGGTTTGATTTTGGGAGATGAGTTTGGGAGATAAAAAGTACCAAAAGTTGTTTGGTTTGGTTTTTTTGGAAAGATGTTTTGAAAAATTATTTTGAGAGAGAGTTTTGGAAAAAGTGATTGTTTTATTTATTATATATATATATATATATTAACACATCTTTCAAGACATCTATTATACCACTACTCATTCTCTAAAATTAACAAACTCTTAATATATCTTAACACATATTTTTAAATCCCACTTTTATTACTTTTTGTCATATAACATATACCTTAACATACTTTTTTAGTCATCCCACTGTGAATGCTCTAAATCACAAATTATTGGGAGATGTTTGAAAATTGTAACAGCATTGACAAACGAAAAATATATGAAAAATGATTGGGAGTGGACCCCACTATAATGTGATATTTTGACATTAATTTTATTTATTTTTATTTTATTTTTATTTTCTGTCACATCATTAGAGTGATATATCATTGCTCAAAATATATTACCAACACATAATCCTTACCTCTAAAATCTCTCTCACCTCACAACACACACTGACACACTCTCCAAGGCACGTCACACAAATTATAATTCTGCTCTCTCTCTAGCACACACATCACATCACCCACCTCACTTTATAATTAAAAAACAAAATAAATTGTAGTATATTTTATTTTAATAAATACATATAATTTTTGATGAGTTTTTTTATTAATAAATCTATTTTAGAGTTGTTATAATCAATTAAGTTCATAAAGGCTTATTATAACCTGATTAGTCTCATTTACTTTTCTTTTTATTCCATCAGGTCCATTTTACTAATTTTATATTTTCAAATAGACTATTATGCCCTTATATATATATTGTGTTGATACACAAACGATGTTGCCTTTTTTTCGTTTATTCTGTTTTGGTAGTTTCTATCTTCACACTTTTGATCATCATTTTAATTCAGATGGATACGTTTCTATTTTTCATGCTCGTTTCAAGGCTTTGATGTGCTAGGGTTTCATTGTTGCTGTTGTAGTATGGTTCGGTGATTTTGGAGTGAAGACGACGGATTGGATGGTGTTCAGTTGTGACATTTTCTGGAGTATAACTAGTTTAAATTAGTTATTTTCGAGTTACAAGACGAGTGCAGGATTGCATGATTAAGGTTAGTATCATTTTGGTTATTAATACATTTTTAGTTTATGTTTTGATTTGTATGATGGATGAGATGCTCTGTTTTTTTATTGATATGGATCGGATGCTCTGTTTGTTTAATTATATGGATTTTACGTGGACCTGTGGAAGAGAGGTCATTCAGATTATGTAAAGAATGTGGATGTTCTCATTTTACTTTGATGTTTGCTTAATGAGGCTCTGTGTAGGAAAGATAATTAAGAGTATATGTAACAATGTGAATGTTCACAAGTTGTTAATATAAGATTATGGAGAGTTGCTTGCATGTTGTGTAATATCACCTTATTGTGGTGTTGTGATTTTGAACTTGTAAAATGTTTTATGTTGTACAAGGATGGTGGTGATAGTTTTCACTATGGATTTAGAAGTGAAACTGTACACATAGGCATTTAGTTTGCATAATGTGAATGTTCATATAGTATGGATTATTGTATGTATTGTAATTCGTATGGTTGTTACATGGTTGTTGACTTTTGTTTTATTGTGTTTTTATAGGAGATGGATACCTTTATGATGTTGGTGTGCACATATGGTTGTAGTACAATTGTAATAAATGTGGTTCGTGCATTATGTTATTCGCGTTTGGTGGAGTGGTTGTGTGAAAAATGGGACGAGTTGTCTGCTTGTTCTATTTCATTGTTCTGTCGACTACCTGGGATTAATAGGTGTAATTTGGATAATGACGAAGAATTTCAGAACATATTATTGCTTGCCAAATTAATGGGGGTTACACCATGTAGAGGTTGTCGTTGATTTGAAATGTGATATTGGTTAGTCGAGTAGCTCTGGGTTGATGCATGTGGGAGGTAAGGAAGAAATTGATGCACTCTAGAGATTTTGCCACCATAAAGAGAAGGTGTTGTTGTCAGCCCCTTGGGCAAATGGTATTACGCATGTGGGACAACAGTTTGTCAGAGGTGCACAAGAATTTCGTGATGTTTTATGTAAGTCTGCAATCCAATGCGGGTTTCAGTTTATGTATGTCAAGAATGAGATAACAAGGGTTACTGCGGTGTGTGCAATGCGTGAGAAGAGAGGTTGCTTGTGGTCTATACATTGTAGAGCACAACGAGCAAATGGTTTTTTCTATATTAAGAGGTTCAGTGATTTGCATAGTTATGGTACGGATGTCCGAACATCAAAGAATTCGAGAGTTAGTTCTGATTTGGTGTCGAGCACTAATCTGAAATTGTGAGGGACAAGCCGTTGACTCGGCCATGTGAGGTGGTGACTATTTTGAAGAGAGATTATGAGCTAGATATGAGTTACCACGTGATATGGTTGGGTGTGGAGAAAGCAAATGCTATTATTCATGGAGATCACTCATTATCGTTTGACCAGCTGCGATAGTATTCGGATGCTGTGATGCGTTACAATTTGGGGAGTTATGTCAATATTGATTATGATACGAGTAGTCAACAGTTTTGTCATTTCTTTGTATCATCCGCTGTGTGTATTTCTGGATACAATTCTTGTCGGCCTTTGCTATTCCTAGATAGAACATTCCTTAAAGAAAAGTACAAAGGTCAGGTACTTGCAGAAACGACGAAAGATGGAAACAATGGTTAGTTTTTTTTTTTTAGCTGTGTATTTATGTAAATATTTATATTGAGTGGCACAGTGTAGATATATGACTGACCATTACACAGTGTGAACATTCACATGACCTGGTTGCTTTATAGTGTTTTTGTAAGTACTTGTGGTAATATTCACATTGGAATATTCTGATCAGTTGTTGAATGGTGTTGTGTTGTAGGTCTATTCCCTGTTGCATTTGCAATTGTTGATTCAGAGACCACGACCAATTGGTCATGGTTCTTGCACAAACTTGGGAAGGTTGTTGATGGTAAGTGCCAGATTACTTTTATTTCGGATCGTAACCTTGGTTTGTTAGAAGCTATGCCAAAGATGTTTCCATCGGCTCACCACGGTTATTACTTACAACACTTGAAGAACAATTTAAGAGACCGGATGAAAGGAATTGATAATGGATTTAAAGATCACCTAGTTAGTAGTTTAGGTGACTGTGCTTACGAGCCAACTGTGGTAGGGTTCCATGAAAAGCTTGAGAAATTAAAAGAAGAGGGTAAGCAACGAGCACATAATTTTTTCAAGGACTTGGCACCTGAGCATTGGCCAAATTCATACTTCAGGTAATAGTAGTTTCCTAATGTATTTCATTTGTCAAGTTTAGAATGGTAGCGATGTGAATTTTCAGTTATGTTTTGTGGTAATATGAAATTTTATATTCAGTTTCGAAGAAATTAAATTCAGTATTGTACCATGTTTGTGATGTTGTGCAGGGCCATGCATTATGGGGAGATGACATCCAATGCGGCAGAGTCATTTAATAATTGGATTAAAGAATCACGCAATCTTCCTATTACTCAAATGGTGGACACAATTCGTACTTAGTTGATGCGGCAAATGTTTGCACGGCGTGACCAAACAAACAAGTGGAATGAGCTTATTTGTCCTACATTTGAAACAAATGCTTTTTGATTCGTTCAACGACAGTAGGTCTTAGCAAGTTAGCAAAGCCAATGAGGAGATGTTTGAAGTTCATTCGATACCATCTGTTACAGTTGATATTACAAGGCGTATGTGTTCTTGCTTCAAATGGCAAATCAACGGATTCCCATGTGACCATGCTGTGATTGCTATTCAGAAGAGCCGCTACAATCTCAATGATTGTGTGAAACATTATTTTCATGTAAAGACATATCGTGCAGCCTATTTGGGTGTCATATTCCCTATACCATCGGTGAAAAAGTCACCTTTTGATCCCACGGACTTCACTATATACCCACCAACTGTGAAAAGACCACCTGAAAGGCCGAAAAAGAATGGAATCCCATCAAGGGGTGAGAAAT